TAATGACAATTTACTATGTTATTTGTATGACCTAAGCAATTGTCATGCGATGGCTTTTGTCGTAGGTGTGAAATAAATGGTTCATTTCCACCCAGCCTTAAATGCAGTTTAGGCCTATTGGAAAAAGGAAATTTTAACACGAAAGTGGTAATTGCTCATAAAAATTAAGTAGAAGCAAACTAAAGTAAAAATGCAAAAAATAAGAAATAAATTTTGCCGATGACCCCATGTTAAAATTCTTGGAAGTTACTTGAGCTCCTAACTGAGTAAAGCTTTTGGTGGAAATGGGCTTTTAGTATCAAATATTTCAACTCTGAACAACTAAAACTGGCACTCATTGGTGAGAACGATCTGCGAAGGCTTAACTCAAATAAAATGGTGGGGAAAATTATATTAGCGATAGTTACATTAGTTTACTGATCGTTGTTTTCTTAATTAGCTAGAAATTAGATGAGTTATGCATAATTATTAAAATATATTATTTATATTTAATAGAATAGATTGTTAAAAATTGGTTTATATATGTATATATTTGTACGTGATATTATAGTGTTTCTAGTGGCTACGTATGGTTTTTTCTATACCTAGTATGTATGTATGTATCTAGTTTGATAAAAAAAAAATATAGCTTTTACTCTTAAATGCAACTTGTATACAATTAGTTTGCTCGTTTAGAAAATTGCTTTAAATTTCTGCGAAAGTAAAGATAAGGAAACTAGCTAACTGAAAATGTAGAAGCAGAAATGAAGGTGAAACGCATAACCACCATTTTAAAAATATCTAATTCTTTGCATTAATAAAACATTTTAAGTAGACCTCACAGCAAGTTTTTCATGCGTTCCGCGCTTTTCTGGTTCTCAGCGTGTATTTGAGTAAAGTGCTGAAACCCTAAGCCCTGATGATCATCTCACAAATCTGTTGTGGAGTCCTACTCTTAGTTAAAATTTTCCCTACAAAACTAAAATGGTAGATTAAACAAAAAATGCGCCAAAGCTAAATTTTTTGCTTTTGCTTTTCAAGCACCATCAGCGCACTCACTATTACACATATCGTGCATATTAGCTAAACGACTGCCATAACTGAAAAAACCAAATTTTTTAGCAAATATTGCAGAATTACTTGTTTGGTGGCGCTTCATATTGTCTAAACATTTCGTGTTCAAAGCTTGTGTAGCGTATTTTCCTCGAAAGAAAACGTTTTAGAAGCAAATTGAAAACTTTAGACGCGCCTTCTGAAAAATCCCCGAGTTATGACAGCCTTTTTGAAAATGCCTCGTATGTAAATATACTTATATACATAGAAGAGCAATGGTTCCACCGATACCATAAAATGTTTATGCATAAATAGTTCTATTTTCTATTACTTCCACTCAATAATAAAAATATTCCATACAAACAATTAGCTAATTTTTTATAGTTAAACAAACGTACTTACATACATACATATGTATGTACACGCATTTTGTAGTTGCAGTTAAGTCGCCATTTGTTAATCGTCGTCAGCATTATTTTTAGTTCGCTCGTCAACCACTTCCTGACACTAAGTACAAAGTAAATGGCAACAAATGTTGTAGCATTGCATGTTGAACAAATTCATTAATTTTTTGTTATTTAATAGTCGAAAATCGAAATCGAAAAATTGTTAGTTTGTTTGCTTGTTGACTGCAGTTTCACTTTCCACTCTCCGCTTGTAAGCATTTAAGTATTTAGACCAATACGTATGTATGGCTTCTTTTTTTGAATACCAATGCTTTAATCGTCTAAGTCCCACAAAATATCTTTCTATAATGACTACACAAACACCTTTCATGAAAACAATATTTATGTATATTGAATTAAGCATGCAAAATATATTTACCTTTCATAGATTGACTATTCCAAAAAAAAAACACACAACTACTTTAAAATCCTTAAAATATCCTTCTTAAACACTTGAAGTTTTAATTCTACCATATTTAAAAAAAAAAAGAAAACCCTTTTTGTTTCTTTCTCCTTATTAATTTATGATTGAACTCTTTTTCATGTTATTTAAGTTACAAGATAAGTTTATTTTTGGTATATATAATCATAAACATATTTTTATTTAGTATATAGTTTTCAATTATTTAAGCGATAAATTCTATACCAGCAATAAGTTGAGATGTCAACTTAGATAGGCTTGCAATTCGAGCTCCAACTCCTCGTACACTTCAATGAGTTCGTAAATTTAATGAACCCGTGCAAAAGACGTTTACTTAATTTTGCAATTCCGCTAAAATAGATCTCTCAAAAATGCGGCGCTAAAAAATTGTATATATTTTTTTCTGCCTTAAACAGATGAGTCGTAGATTTTGCTGCCATCTAACCACTCTGCGCCCTTCAGTCAAAAGTCTTTCTTAAGACAACAGCGAGGAGGTCTTAGCGTTCGCTATTCAGTTTCTCTGTTAACAATAAGTTTTCTAAACAATTTATTTTAATAAAAAATATATTTTTTTTCTAAAATAATTAATGCAAAAAAATTACAAAAAAAAAAATTATTTTAAAATTTATTATTTAAAAAGGTTTCTAAAAGCAGATTGAATTAAAAAAATATTTACTTTTTTTAATAAACTTTAAAAATTAAATTCAAAAACAAAAAACAAAAAACAAAAAACATTGAAAAAAAGAAAAAATAAAATAAAATAAGTGCCTAAAAATTAAATTAATAAAAATGATTTTTAAAACAACAAAATCTAAAAATTAAAAGAAAATTAAATTAAAAAAAGGTTTTTAAAATTTAATTCAATTTGAAGAATATATTGTTTTTCAAACAGTAAAATATACATAAATATTGCAATTAAAAAAAAAAAAAAAAAAATTGTTAATAATATTCAATATTTTCCTAAAAACTAAATGAAATCGAAAAATATTATTCTAAAATAATAAACCTATAGATTAAAAGAAAACGTAATTATCTAAAAAAAACTAAACCAATTTTGTAAAACCTTATCTACAGCAAAAATATATTTTTCTATTTAAAACAATAGAATCTAAGAATTATTGAAATAAATTAAAAAGTAAAAAATATTACAATAAAAAAGAAAAAAGATAAAATAACATAAGTTCCTGAAAATTTAATTACATTAAAAATATCTTTCTTTTAAAACAATGAAATTTAAAAAAAAAATCTAAAACTTTGATTAAGTTAAAAAAATATTTTTCTTTTTAAAACAATCTAAAAATTAAAAGAAATTAAAATTAAAAAAGAAAAAGCGTTTATTTTTCAAACACTAAAACCTAAAAAATTAATTATAAAAAGCAAAAATACAATAAATTCTTAAAAATTAAATGAAATTAAAATAATATTTTTGTAATTTTCAGAACCACAATATTACAAAAAAAGTTAAAATTTAAATAAATCGAAAAAATATTGTTGTTATTAAAACAATAAAATATAAAAATTAAAGGAAATTGTTTTCAAAAAAAGTTTCTAAAAATTAAATGTAGTCAAACAAATATATATTTTTCAATTTGAAACAATGAAGCTTATCTAAAAAAAAAAAAACAAAGAAAAATAGTTTCTTTAATAAATAAAAAAGCAAAATTCCTGGCGATTCGAACATCGTTTCTTTCGAATGGCACGCAAGTGCTTTGCTCACTCGGGCATTGCGACTGTTGGAGCAGCGCGAGCAAAATATGTACATTTGGAACATGCTCAAGTGCTTTCCTCCAAAAGAGCTTTTCACCATGAAAGTTAGTAAGGAAACTTTTTTTGTAGGATATTCGTGCCCCAGAATAAACATAATCTTTCAAAATATCTTGCCTACTGTCTTACAGTTATTGCACAAAAGAGTTGTAACTATCTTAGCCAGAATTGCCCTGTTTAGAGGGCAATGCAAAGGCATAACAAGCATAGTAAATCTTTGGAAAACATCCCTTGCCCTACTCTTAGTATCCGATCACAGCCAAAAGTCGCGACATAAGTACGATAAAACACTATCTGAACCTTATTTATGGAAAACTGTTAATTTACTACCATTCTCTGATTCCTGGTTGGATGACTGGCATATGAAGCACCGAGTCATACAAAAATTCTTAATGCCTTTCTGGCATTACAAACTCAAAGCAATCCATATTTTTAATTATGGTTTTGAAGTACTTTATTGTGATAATATATGCACATTAGGGTGCCCCACCAAATAAAGTCGTGGTTTTCCACTGGAATTAAAAAAAAATATTAAGATTTACATAAGTTGGACTGATTTGAAAAATAGTTTTTCAAAAAAAATTTCATCAGATGAATGAATCCTAAAAGATCTGCATAAAAATGTTTGAACATTTTATGAAAATAATTAAATCTTTTGGTTCACTTTCAAATCGGTCCAGCTAACATACAATTTAATATTTTCGCATAATATTTTGGCAGAAATCTTTAAACTTAATACATTTTATAATTCCGACAAAGAAAACTGTACCGACTTTTTTATGGAGAGTGATGCACCCTAATGTACATACTACTTATATTGGTATGATCTAAAAAAGTAGTAATGAGTTTCGTTTTCAAACCTAGGCTTATAGGAGTTGATTTTTTCACCTTTACTTCAATTCGTTGATTGTTTTATTTTCCATTAAAGTTAACTCAACCAGTTTATCATTTTGTTCTTCTGATATTTTGTTTTGTCATCCGATCCCAACAACAGTGGTTATATACAAGGATATATTTTTTAAATATGTTATATTTTAACATAAACAAAGTCTTTGAATCCAAACATTTTTATTTCATCTTATCAAAATATAAATTCAAAGCCAATCAAACGAAACTAAACAAGAAACACAAAAGCAACATGTAGTAACGTAAACGAAAACGCTCACACCCACATTCCCTAAACTATTTGCTAACTCATTGAATTTGTATATCAAAAATAAAAATAAAAATAAAAAAACACATAAACTACGAGTAGAATCACAAGAAAGAATAAAATAAAAATTACAACACAATCCATAATTTTTGCCTAAGTTTGCTGATTAGTGAATATCTTACAGATGAATTCCATCCAGCGCCCACATTTACGCCGCCAGAGCTGCCCAAGCGGGTGCATGTGCGCGGATCAGTAACGGGTAATAAAATTAAACAATATACCACATACATACAATAAGTCCATACATAAATACATACATACTTGGCGTTTTCGAAAACATCTTTTGTTCACGTCCACTGAAAAAAAAAAAACAACATAAAAAAGTATCAGCTCATTTTTCATAAACTGACTTCATTTTTCTTCATGCAAACTGAAATCATAAATAAAAATATTTACACATTTATTTGAAAGGAAGGAAAAGGGATTTTTTCAACATGCGTTCAAGCGAAATCACAACAGAATATAATGCAAGAAATATTTGAAAAAGAAAATACATTGTGTATATAAAAAATGGCATGAAGAAAGAATTTTACTATGTACATAAAAAAAAATATGTTTTTTGTTAGTTGTGGTTTTTATTTCAACAACTGTTAAACGAAAGCGATCACTCTTATTTTTGTTCTAAACTTTTGTGATTGCTGAAAAAATCTAAAAAAATATCTTTTTATTTTATTTTTTTGCCGAGTTGTATTTAATTGTACAATTTTTCTTATCTCTATACCAGGTAATATCTCCATTTTAGTATTGTATTTTTTAATGATCGATATTTCAACTTCACTCTCAAAGTCACCTTTAAAGAAGAAAATTTAATTGCTAGATAATTTTCGAAGAATTCATAATTCCATGCTTATGATAAACTATTAGTAATAACCTTTTAATACCGCCAGTTTTCAGTTTTAATTAATTGGTATAAAGAACGTGAAAATATTGTAGCTTACAATAAAAAAAAAAGTTTCTTAGCATCCTAAATTAGTTTCTTGAATTCCTGTAAAAAAATTGTATGTGCTATTCAAAATCTTCCATACAGAAATATTTTGACATTCACATAAATAAGTATGTATATTTATATAAAATAAATTAAACCAGTGTGCGGCAGACTCAAACATTCATTTTGCAGCATGTTCATTTCACTTTAAAGGATCCCACGTCTATATATACATATATTTTCTTACTTTTGGTAGGGATGCAAATTCTCGGGAGTAGCATCGATACAAATCGCCAGAAAAACAATTACAGTTTTATAATTTCTCAAACTCTAATTAAATTTAATACAAAAAAAATCATTTTGAATTCCAATCAATTCTCTTTGAAATGTAATTAGGAAAATATGTACTCCCATGTATTTAATTACGCTTCCTACACCCTAAAAGTTCGAAGGACTGGAATAAAAAGCATTTTCTGCTACTATAGCAATATATTTAAAAAATTAAAAAAAAAAAACAATTAGGGGCATGAAGGTTTTACTTCCACCGATTACTGTATTTCAAAATAATTATTTGGGCGCCCAAAAAAAACGGTTATACTCACTACATACATTGAGGAGTTATATAAAAAAATAGATCTAAACAATCAGTGGTATAGGATATATAGCTTAGAATTTGTATGATCCCTTCCATATGAAGGACCTTTAAATATTGCCGCGCTGTTATTTGCCAGCCCCGTGCGGATAACAAAATAGATAAAACAGTGCCGGCCACGTGAAAAGGGAGGCCTTTTGATACTCAGCATTGTCAGTTTTCGTTCGATGGGAATGGCCACTGGTGGAACTTATAAGGTCACTTCTTGAGAAGGGGAGAAGAGTGTGGTGTTTATAATTAGTTTGCAATGAGAGGTACTGCCATGGAAGATTTCTTTAAGAGGAATATAGTTGGTATGCTCTGTAGAGCTGATGAACGCTGTAGAGCACTGATGGGCACTGCCTTACCCGCGGGCAAAGCTCTTTTAAGCTTTCT